TTGCTGCTTGAGTAGGGTAAACCTGGAGGGCATACAGCAAAGCCTAAACTCCTGTGAGGGGGTCCCTCCTAGATATTGGCTGGCTCTTGGACACTGTCCTGGAGATCCCATGTCATCTGCTCTCACATGGGAGCATCCTGGTACTTTGAGTCCTGATCCTGCTCTTACATCTCTTACATCTCGGCTATTCCAGTGTGATCCAGTTCCAGGATCCTACTACTTCCATTGTAATCTAGAAAGGTTCCCGCTGTGCAGATCCTGCTCAGGCTTTGCATGTTCTGTGGTACTTGATCCGGCCGAAATCTGTCTCTTGGCCTACAACTCTCAAGTGTGCTTACTGCCTTTCCTTGCCTATCCCTAATAGTGTAGATTTAGTCACATCCTGACACTGAGTGCAACAGACAGATGCGTTTTGGCTTATTTCTTTGTACCAGTGCCCTGCTTTGTTAAAGCTTATTTAAGTGATTTAGTATTAAGACCTAAGTTTGTTTGGGTTTTTTTTGTTGCTATATATAACTCCTTTTTCACCTTTGTACTAGTTTTTGAAAGCAACACAATCATTTATAAGAACCTAAAGAAAGTTAAAAACAACACTAATGTATACTTATTTTATTCACTGAACTGAAACACAATTTATAACATTTGTATCATGTGTTTTTTTCTGGATTTTTGGTTGATATTCCGTCTCTATCATTTAAAATACACCTATGATAAACATTATAGACCTTTCATTTCTCTGTAAGTGGGCAAACTTACAAAATCTGCAGGGGATCAAATAATTATTTGCCACACTGTATGTTTGGGTTGCTAATAGTACATTTCTTTACAGAAAGATTTGAAAGACTTGGCATTAAAAGAAATTTTTTTCGTTTTTAAAAGCAGAAAAAGTAAGAAGCTATCCAGTTGGTGGGGAGTCATATGGGAGGTGCACTGTTTCTGAAGCTCTGGTACTTTACAAATAGAGCCTAGGGAATAAATATGAAATATCACTCCACATGTAGTATGGCTGGGAAAACAATACTTCATTCACGTTATTATCTGCTATAAGAAAGTATGAGTTGCTGGATGCTCTTTTGTCTCTTTGCTTGCCCCCACTTATGAATGTTACAGTGAAATGGTTCCTATAAACAGTGAGTGATTATTTCACAGATAAGTTGGATGAAATTGTATTGCAGTTTTCCCGTGTGCATGTTTACATGTAAATAATGCTCAGCAGAGTTTGTCTTTAAGACTTTTAATAGATAAAATCTTTTAAACGTTGTGAATATAGCTGACATCACTGATATATTCATTTGGATTGTTTGAATAGTCATTTCTCTGCTGCAATGTTTTAGTTCTTCCTGGGAGACTGCAGAATACCTCCTCTTAGTACTGAGCTGGGGGCTTGAGCTTTGTGCCCTGCAGTGAAGAACATTGGTGCTGTGGAAATCGCAGTCATTCAGAGAGTGTGAAATTGCTGCTGACAAGGATCCTTGCTTTATTTCACTGCACAATTGAAATGTGCCATTTTCTGTTACACTTGGTTATTTTTTAACCTCATGTTTTAATGTTCTGTTTTGTCATTAAAATACAGTTCCTCTTTTGATGTGTGTAAGATGCATCTATAGAACTTAGACATTTTCAAATATGAGTGTATATTTTAGCTAAAAAAAACAATTACACCCTTTTCTCAATAGTATATTTCTGATAATAATGAGCCGTGACTCATTTGGAGAGTAGCCAATGGTAAAAATATTATTGCAAAGTAAAAAAAATGTTGTGCATTAGTAATCTGACATACTGTATGTAAAGCCTTATTTAATAACATGCAGAAGAAGCAATGTAAACACAATGTGGAATAACCTTTTGTAACTGGATATCAGCTCTTACCAGTAGGGGCTTAACCAGATCCATAGACACCCACGTGGTTGATTATGGGGCCTGGAAGGAAAGGGGCTCAATACTATCTGGTTTAACTAATTATTTGAGCACTGGAGCCACACCAATGCTTCCAGAATACATCCTGTTGACCTGTTACAACAAATTGGTACTGCCAATCTAAAATCTTGGATGAGAACCTCCTTCCCTCAGCCGGAACACTGAAGATGGGTTGTGGATGGGTCTTTCAGCATGACAATCATCCAAAACATACCGCCAAGGCAACAAAGCAGTGGCTCAAGAAGAAGCACTTTAAGGTCATGGAGTGGCCTAGCCACTCTCCAGACCTTAATCCTATAGAAAATGTATGGAGGGAGCTGAAACTTTGAGTTGCCAAGCGACAGCCAAGAAACCTTAAGGATTTAGAGAAGATCTGTAAAGAAGAGTGGACCAAAATCCCTCCGGAGATGTGTACTAACCTGGTAACCAAACACAAGTATCGTCTTAACTCTGTTCTTGCCAACAACTGTTTCTCCACCAAGTACTAAGTCATGTTTTGCTTGGGGGTCAAATACTGCAACTGAATTTATAACATTTGCATCATGTGTTTTTTTTCTGGATTTTTGGTTGATATTCTGTCTCTATCATTTAAAATACACATATGATAAAAATTATAGACCTTTCATTTCCTTGTAAGTGGGCAAACTTACAAAATCTGCAGGGGATCAAATAGTTATTTTCCTCACTGTAAATCACAAGTTGCACATGGAAGTTTATGCTCTTTATTGACATAATAGTGTTGGCTGACGCTCTTTTTGGCTAGAGATGAAGTTTCTGCTTCACAGAACTGTGCACTTACAAGTTGTATGGATAGTATGAACATGCCTGGGTTCAATCATTAGATGTCTCAAATCTCTAAGCACTAATGTGGGATATACTCCAAGTACAATTCTGAATACAGCCTTGACACTGTTCATACTACCATTTTAAGCGTCCATATAGGACTGTATGCTCTTATCACTGTACTCTGTGCAGACTCCCTTCTAGGGAGAGTGTCTGTCGTATGGTTTTCTGTGATTTCACATTGAATGATGTGTCCATGTGCCACAGCTAGATATTTGGCATGTCTTATGCAAAAGGTGCAGACTAATTTACTGGGCAAAATAAACATATCATCTGGCATCCATACTTGAGCAAACTTTACTATTTGTCCAGAATCTGTTCAGCATCCATTATGAACCCAAGTTGATCAGAATCTTTGTACATCACCAAACAATCACTTGCTTCAGCATATCATTAAAGCAAGCAATTGTTTTAGGGGACTATTAAATACAGTACTTACAAAGATGGACTGAGTTATAACTTAAAACCTTTTTTGGCGTTACTTCTCTTTTGGGTCACAGGAGTACATTTACTAATGTGCTGCTTTTGAGTTGCGCTGCAGCTGGGAAAGATCCTAACAATATAATTGGGATCTACCCAGCTGCCTGATTGACAGCTGGTTCTGCCTCTCGAGAGCCAGATTCAGCTGTGCCTTCCCCCTCCCATGTCTGTCCATCCAATGAGCTCTAGAAGAACAGCAAGGGTAGGGGGAATCCCTGAGGGTAGCGGTGACTGAAAGTCAATGCTGCCTGCAGGGAGAAGCCATGAGCTGGACAATGAGCGGTTATGTGACCGCTAAGCTGCACTCTTCCATGCTGGCTCTTAAGTATTGGGAGGAGTATAATTTTTACTTTCCCAATGCTTCTCTTTTAAGTTCACTTAGTGTTTCATGACCATACAATAGATAGACGGCTAAGCGGATTGCATAAAATGTTATTTTTATAAGAGATCTCTGATACTTTGTGGAAAGCAGGTAATATGTTTGTACACTGTACCCCATAGGGGAAGATCTGGTTTTCAGCCTAAATATACCATCTGAGCTTTTGGTGGAATGTATACTATTCTTAAATGCTTTTAAGTATTTTAATGCTGTTTTGTGAATAATAAATATATATTTATTCTATTGCAGCATTCCTTTCAATGTTCTAAATCATTTTTGACCATATGATATACTTTTTTTTCCCATATGTCAACTAGTTTCATCTGTACTAGTCAAATAAGAAGGTTTTGCTTTGTAATTCTTAGGTGCATAACCCTGTCAGCCAATACATTCATGCAGTAATATTAGCAGCAAAAAGCATAAATATAGGCACGCTAAGTAGCAGCATATATTAAACAACATTTAGCAGTATATATAAAAGTGAACTAAAGTGCTATATTATAAAGCATGGTCCCTAAATGGCAGACCGCGGTTACCGAGCGGTCAGCAGCCTAACCGCCTGAACTAGGATATAGCTGGCTTGCTGTGGATGCACCAGCCCCTGAGACTGGTGCATCCACAGCCAGCCATAACCCAGCACAGGTCCCCATTCCTCCTCAGTCATTGGCTACTAGGACCACAGCGTTCCTAACAACCAATGATATCCGCTTTCTTCCACGCCCAGGATTAAGGGAGGACAGAAGACTATTGTCTTCCTTCCTCCCCTGCAGCCAGAACTCTCCCTCGCCTCTCAGCTCCTCACATCCCCGCCTCCAATCCACTCCCAGCACCACCTCACATACCCTCCCAGCACCACCTTCTGACTCCATATTAAATTAATGTGAAAGGAGCATTTTAAAAGGGCACTCTAGGGACAACCAGTCTAAGGGAGCACTCTGATGGGGACAACTACTTATTAGTACTCTGAAACACTCTGAAGGGGGACACCTAAAATGTGATGTGCTGGGATCACCACATCAACACTGTGTCTGGGAAAACACAGTGCAGTTGCTTGTGTGAATGCAGCCTAAATGGCGGGCCAAGTGACCGTTCTGTCTGGACCGTGATTCGGACCTCCTGCTTGAAGAAAATTTCGGTTACCAGAATTTTTATTCACTTCCCCCTGTTGTAAAATGTCAAAATACTGTGTGAAACTAGATCAGCGCAAGACATAACTACTCATAAAACAGTATATGAAAATCCCCAATGTTTCAGTCAAAGATGGCTTTTATATAATTTTGCAGGCAACTTTCTCTTTACCCTAAAGGCTTTCTTTGATTGAGAAACAATGTTAATTAATTTCTTAAGTGTAAACATTTACAATTTTTGTATTCTGTTGCAGTTACTTGAAGGAAGCTTTTCAAGAGAGGTTAGCCATGAAGTTGATGGACTCATCTTTCAGCCAATTGGAGTAAGTTGAACATTTACTTGCCACACCTTCTTTGTAATGGAATAATTGCATTTTTTTCTACACCCAAAGTTATTACGTAAACTCCAGGAAAAAAACACAATCCATTGCTGTGCAGGTTTTTATATTGATGCATCAAGAGTATCTGAAAATAGAGTACTGAGATTAAAGAGTAGGTCACAATGTATTTTAATAAATTTTTCTTCATTTATTTTTTATTTATTTTGCTGTTGACCTTTTTTTTCCAATGCACACATTTAAATATGTGTAAATGATCAGATACAGATTTAATTTGGTAACATGCTTAAAGTATAAGTAAACCCAAGAAAAAAATTTGCAGCTTATTGGTATTTAGATGAGGCTGCATTCGTTTTTTCTTTTTTTCAGGCTAAGAACATTTTCAAAAATGACAGAAAACACGTGTTGATTATGAAAGAAATACAGTGCTGCTGTTTTTTCCTGTGTGCAAAACAAAAAAGAAATCTTATCTTCATTCTGTAAGATATTAATCTCCATGTACTGGAAATGAAAAAGGTCACATGTACATGTTTTAAGGCCAGCTTGGGTGGAAACCATGCTTCCCTTCATAGAGTATGTATGTGTAGTACAGTAGCAAACATAGCTACCCAGGGGCATGAAGTATTATTCTCTCTATTATTCTCAAGACTACCTTTGAAAATACAAGGGAAAAACTGAAAAAAAAAAAGAAAACTAATGCAGGCACATCCCATCATTGCTAGTAAGCTGCAATATATAACATTTTAGTTTTTGAGGTAAACCAGCTTTAAATGTTCTTTAATTACAAATGTATTATTCAAATTAATATTATAATTACACTAAACTCAGGAGTTAAATCTTAAAGTGCATTCAAGTACCCTGAAGAAATAGGTCACCAGCACTCAAGAGATTTAAAAATAAATAAGTCCTTTTTATTGGACCATGGTGTCACGACAATCAAATAAGTCCTTTTTATTGGACCATGGTGTCACGACAATCTATTTGATTGTCGTGACACCATGGTCCAATAAAAAGAACGTATTTATTTTTACATCTCTTGAGTGCTAGTGACCTATTTCTTCAACTGTTCGTTTTGCACGGTGCCATCCGTGGAGTTACTGCAAGCACCATCCTTTCGTACTGGCCGGGATTGCTGAAAGGTGTGTGGAGAGCACCTTCACCCTACTGCATTCAAGTACCCTAACTATTAACAAAAATGTATCTTATTTGTGTATCACTCAGCTGTAGATCCTCAAATCATCTCTGAATTCATGTTGACACTGTCCCTTATGGAGAAAGGCTACTTTTGTTTCCCATGGTCCCTCTGTTTGTTGTAAAGTAGCCACCAGGCTGCTTAGCAACATGTGAAGCCTGCTTTCTAGCCAATCGGGAAGCCAGCTCCATGCTCCCTCGGCACTGCCGGTCAGAAGGAGACATCTCTCTGACCTGAAGTTCTGGTATCGGAGGTAAGTATCTGAGCATTTGGGCAAGTACCGGTATCGGTGCATCCCTACTAATTTGTATTGAGATTGTGGTCTCTCACGGGAGTGTGCTTGGAGCGGTGGCTAATTTACAAAACACACAGGGATCATGGGAAACAAAATTAGCCCCCCTCCAGAAGGAAGGGCAGTGTCAACATGAATTCAGAGATGATTTGAGGATCTACAGCTGACTGAAATATACATTTTTGTTCAAAGTTAGGCTACGCTCCCGTGATGGACTACAATCTCAATACAAATGAGTAAACTAAACGTCAGATTATAGTCCATTACAGGAGCGAACTTGGAGTGGTAGCTTCTTTACAACACACAAAGGGACCATGGGAAATGAAAATAGCCACCCAGAAGGAAGCACCAATTCCCGGGATGCTTTAAGCTGAGTGATACACAAATAAGATATTTTTTTTTAATAGTTAGGGTACTTGAATGGATTTTTGAGATGTACCTCTTGAGTTTTGTGTCACTTTAAACTAAAACAAGACAGTTTATTTTATCTGATCTATATTACCACAGTTAATGAAACTAATTATCCAGCACACTTAGTGAAAAAAATAATCTGTATATCTTTGCATCTGCCTTCATGTGATTGGACACTGGCAAACAAAGCTTTAAGAACAGCCCTCTATAACCCCTCACTCACAGCAAGCCTTGGCTTTATTGCCAGTGTTTTAGAAGACCCTAACAGACATCTTATATCCTATCTATCTATATATAAAATAAGCAAACACGTTTAATTATTTGGATTTTTTCCTCAAGATTTTTTTTTTTTTTTATATAGCAAGATTCACTGCCTCTTTATAACCACTGGAGCTTCCTATGCGCCACTATTGTGATCCGTCTGCTGGCAGAATGCTATCCCTGAAGATGTCTTAGGGGGTGTGCCCATTGGGAGGGGGGTGATCTGGATGTGGCTTGGTTCCCTTATTCCCCTAAACTGCATTAGGAGACACTGCTGGTGTTGATAGTAACATTGACCAGATTTAACATCTGTATCCCAGCATGCTGTTGATCCGTTCCCTGAGAGGTTTATCTGTGGTGTGCTTGCTGCAACACATTCAGTTGATGCCAGTGGCGGAAGAAAGTTGGCTGTACCACTTTTATTGTAAAATAAAATTAGCTACATTTTTTTCTCCTAGCTACTGGGACGTGGACCTGGAGAGCTAATGAGCTGGGGCAGCCTTTTCCTCAGTGGGTGTACTGTGCATGTGCACTCCATTCTCATTCACATGAACCTTGAACATGCCTGGGTTTTCACAGCCTACTGTGATTGGTCACAGAAGGCAAAGCCCTTCATGCTGTGCAGCGGAGGTTCCGAGTACCCTTAGTAGGATATCCCTCACCACACATGATTCATGTGAATTTGACTTCTCGCAGAGTCTTACAACATACTTGGAAAAGCTTACTTCTGTTGTGCAGTCAGAGACTTGAAGCACAGAAAGTTTCCTGTGTGATGAATTCTGTCTTTTCTTCAGTCTTCCCAAGATAGTTTCCTCCTTCACCAACCAGTACATTGTACTTCCCTTTCTATGTCCTGTTCCTAAACATCCCAGGGAGATTTCTTTCCACTGTCTTCACATGGTATGCCCTGTTTGAGTCTATCTGCTACAGCTTCTTTTAGACAGTGGGATTCTCTCTTTGGCATTTTTGACTTCCTCTCGCTCCATTACTTCAAGATGGATTAGGCATCCCATCATTTGAGCCTATAGTGTAAAATACAGGGTTTCACCCTTTCCTGTCAAAGCAAATTTCACCAGATTGGTTGGTGCTTCTTGGACCTTTTAGCATCAGGTATCTTTTTGCCTGATTTGCAAGGTGGCCACCTGATCTTCTATTCAAACACTTGAATAAAATTACTTATAAAATTACTTAAAACCCAACTCCAGGCACAGGAGCTTTTCTTTTTTTTAACCTTTAATAGTCTTTAACACACTTGATTTTACCACTTTAGGAGCTCTGTAAGCTCAATTGAGCTTCTCCTGCATCAGAACGGTGTCTATGATCAACACCAGTTCTGATGTTGTGCCTCCACTCCCTCACTCGTATGCACCATTCACAAAGCGCAACACAAACATAATCACTGTGCCGAAAGCTCTTAAAGTAGTAAAAAGTTAATATCAATATTAAAAGAAAAAAAGCTGTGCTATGAGTTGGGCTTTAAAGAAACTCTTTAATGGTATGGGGTCAGTTAAGGCCTGGTTCACACCTGTATAGATTACCTGTATAGATGGTTCACACCTGTATAGATTATTTTAATCTATGCATTTTTAATCTAAACACAAATCAACAGTGTATACAGTAGGTGTATGCATACAGGTGTGTGTATGTAAGGACGCCCTGAGCACTATGGGTATTTTAACACAAGAACATAGTTGTTTACTTTCCTGCAGCACTGTTTGTTTTTTTTTCGTTCAAAAAGGCTTGTTATTACTTTTAAACAGATAGACAAGTGTGTTTGCGCATACTTCAAGTGGCAGTTTTCGAGTAAAACATATGAAATATGCATAACAAAATAATATTATAAAGATAAAATTAGTCTAGAAGAAGTCCAAAGGAACCTTAAGGCCTGGTTTACACCTGGGCGTTTTACAGCGCGTTCCTACGCGCTGTAAAACGCTCAAGATGTGAAAACCAATAATTGCCTATGGGCATGGTTCCCACCTGGGTGTTTTACAGCGCGTAGGAACGCGTTGAAAAACGCCCTACGCCCAAAGAAGTACAGGAGCTTTTTTGGGGCGTTTTTCCGTGCATTTCCATTGGTACTCCCGTGTGTGGATCGGGGTTAACAAAGCGGTAATCCTGAGCCACCCTCGGGAATACAGCGTACAGGTCTTACCTTGCCCGCGATCCCCGCTGTGTCCTCTGGCGGCTGCTGACATCTGGGTTCCGTCCCTTGCGAGCGGCCGCGTCGCAGGGCGGTGGAGCCGGCGGGAAGTTTGAAAGTGAAAAAAAATGAAAAATAGAGAAAATAAGGGGAAAAAATCATACCGCCAGTGAAACGTGCGTTTCACTGAACGGAAAAACGTGCTAAAAAACGAGCAGAAATAATACGCTCAGGTGTGAACCCAGCCTAAGGTCTCAATATCCATAGAGTCAACACATTAACACGGACTTACGCAGCACTGTTTTTAATCAAAACCTAGGATGGAAGGTTCAGCAGAGGGGAGGGATGAGTAACTGCTCTGCCTAGTTTGTGTAGTGTTTTAAATTGCCTTCTGCACAATACTTGCTTTATTCTGAAAGAAACGTTGTTCTCTGAACTAAGTTTTGCCTTAGAATGCAAAGTTGGGTGGGCTGGTTAATAATAATATAATGAACCCAGTCTGTACTGCAGATCTTATTATCTGGTCTTAGATTTGAACACTGTCTGTCCTAACAAAGGGTTAAATATCTAGAAGCATTGTATGTTAATAAGGGAAAGCTCAGTCTGTCCCTAGTCTTTCTATGTGGACAACTAGAGTCTGCTGTCACTTGGAAATTGAAAGAGAAGCTTGCATATGTTACACAGAG